GCAAGACCCATTAGTTGGTTGACTCTAATATGAGTCAAACATCCCACATGCAAGCAAGCCTAAAGACAATATATAACCCCGACGCTCAAGGCAACTTGTTAATAAAGTAATAAGATATATATTTCAAAGCAAGTTAAGTATAAACATCAGCTACAAATCAAAAACCCAAATGACATATAATGGGCATTTCAACGGATGTAAACCACCATCCCAATTAAAAGGCCAACATAAAACATATAAACACATCAAATTAAACCAAATATACAATCACTTCTATAATACAATGCCGTGTGTCTGAGCACCAAGCCTTTCACGCTTTCAAAGTTGTATGTCCCGCTTATGACCCTTCCCGTGGATAAGGTCCCATCCCATTCAATTTGGGTTGGTACAAAGCAAATAACTCATTAAATCAAAAGTCAGATCTTCTAATTAATATAAGCCTCGAACCAACCAAAGATCAGACCAACTTCAATGCTAGAAAGCCCATCAGAAAATATCAAATCAACCAATTAGAACTGCAAACAAAAAATCCAATATATCTCTAAGAAATGCTTCTTTAAGCCACGTTAAAACAAATAAAGAAGTTATAAAAATGTCATGCAATTGACATTTTGTTGCTCACGCCTAGTATCTTAAGGTAGCAAATGATCGTATTGTGTGTCCCCGAACTATAGAGCGAAAACCAATGCAATTAGCTTTTGGGCAGTAAAGGAGTTAATGTCATGTTTGAAAGCATGTCACCGCCATAAATTTATGCCACAATCTGCTAAGTATCCTTGATAAGAGGCAACATATAATTGCTAGTCAGTATACCCAAACATTACGACGGCTTCAAACCTTTTTAGTTGGCAGACTGGATTCATTGGTATACTCAATATAATGGAACTACCTCCATCTCCTTGTCCATTCTCAAAAAATAAATTCAATTATAAATATTAAAATCTAATCTCAAAGGTGAGTTTAAGCAACCTCCTTAATTGAGAGTGCTCTCTTCGAAGCTAGATGGGTAATTAACTATATGAGTTTGAGCCCAAAGAAAATCTCAACCCAAGATCTAAGAAACTTTGACAGAGCTAGAAAAAAAAAATCTAATTAAAATAAGCCCAACTTATCTTGATAAAACTACCCCAAAGTTTCTCTCACGTACGTTGAAGAGCATTGAGAATACAATGATGGATTCCTAAGCAATCAGTAGTATCGTTTAGAATGTGTACGAGTATTCTGATATCTTTTTCATCACTTCCTCACATAATGTCAGCCATTTGTAAGGTTTAACTAATGTACATGAAGATATTCACTAAACATGGACAAGTAACTATGCCTACTATAAGACTTTTATTAATGTGAGCATGAGGTACATGGAGCTAAAACCTAAAGATAAAGCAATGGTATGTTTAAATTAAAAAAAAAACTTTAAAGATTTAATGTGAAAAAGGAAAAGCATATAAATTTAAAATTTTGAAGCACATTGAGGCATACACCGATAAATAAAAATTTCTAAAAAATTTTGGCATCAATACAATTTTCAATGCGTTTGACAATCATATTTCAAAAACCTATTGCCAATTCCTTGGATTCTTCTCACTTCTCATTTCTTCCTTATAAATATGCATTAACAGATGCAAAAGAATTCCACACAATTTGTTATTGAAAATATTTTGGATAATGAGATTATATCCAATATTGATGATGGAATTTAAAGATATATTGTGCATTAATGTACCATAATGATTCATAGATTATTCTACATCCCACATAAATTTTAAGCATAGGTAGGCCTGATGAAATATCAAATTTAAAATTGGTTGGAATTGTATCAATCGAAGCCAAGGACAATTATCGAAATTGGAGTGTTTAAATTCAACAAAAAATGCAGCTTTATTTAGTGTATTTATTTTATTTTAAATTATAAATATCAATTTTAGATATTTTGGACATTCCTATGACGATTCCTATAACAAACATAAAATTTATGTTATCTAATATTTGTGATGATTTGGTTCGATTATGAAACATAAAATTTCTGATAGATTGTGTCAACATGACTAGCACTACTTGGAAGAAACAATGTGGCACAAGTTTTGAGGGCCATAATTAAATATCTGCATCAGCTATTAATAATTGATAACTTCTTTATTTTCTTATTAAATTGGCTTCGTTGATGGGTTAGTGTCGAACTTTGAAGTTGATTGGAAGGATGTTAATGTCAAGTTAATGTACCTTAGTTGAATCATCATGGATTTTTTTTCCGATTTGTTGTCAGGTGGATTGTTGTTTAGGTTGTTCTATGGTTTTTATATCCCCAGTTACAGCCATTTATTGTTCCTTTTATCAGAGGAGTTTATTATGACGCTGTTTTTTATAATTTTAGCTTGCTACAAGTCCATATTTGCAGCTTTAACTCTTTCGCAGTGATAACTAAGGATTTAGTTCGGTAGAGAACTGCTCGAAGTGATATTTTCAAAAAATTTAGGCCATTTTTACTGCTACGTCATCAGTTTCATATAATTACAGATTTTTTTTTTAAGATGTTTTAGTTGTTATTATAGATGATTTGTCATTATAAATAGAGGTGAATGAAGCATTGGCTTTTGATACAATAAAATTTCTTACAGTTTCCAGTCTTATATTTATCTTGGATGTGTGATTTCTTTAAATGCGGTACAAGTATGACTACATAATTCGCAAAGTCATCTCGTTCTATCTCTATGACTTGCAAGTCCTGAACTTTGTTAAATTTAATGAATTATTTAAGTTATTTAGTTCGAAATAATTTGCTATTGGCTTGCTAAAGCTCGCGATTTTGTTCAAATTTTATACAAATGATATTCTAATTGAGTGGAAAATTTATAATTGCTCGTTAATTTCGGGTTTTGGAAATTTATTGTTGAATTTTTCAAATGATCATTGCATTGTCATTTGGGTTCTCATTCTCATAATTTCTTGCTTGCACCCAAAGAAAGCATGTTTTCAAGTAATTAGTGATCTTAATATGACAATCTCGATTCTGTTTACATGATCTAAATTCAATAAATTATTTTAATGGTTTTAGAAAGCCTAAACCTTCAGAGTCCTCCATCATATTTCCACATTATTAAGGTGTTTTTGGCATTCACTTAAACTAAGCTTTCTATAGCTTGTGTTTATGCCATCAAATTTTTGTGCCATAAATTATATGAGACTAGCAAGACAATTCAAGCCTCACACCTTTTTTTTTTTTTTAATTTAAAACAATATAGTTGTATGACAAGTTTGTTTAAAAAAAAAATACATGAACTTATAGTTACATTGATTGTCTTCGTTAAAAGAAAAATAAAGTAAATTGAATCAAGATAATATAAATCGAAACAAAGAATACTTATCCAAGATGAGAGAAGCAAGCCAACTTTCAGAAACCCATTAAGCCTAACATGCCTAAATCATCAAGTGAATTATCATCCCTAGATTAGAATCCAGTAAATCTGTGATAATGAAGAAAGACTTTTTTTAATAGCGCCTTGATGAAAAATGCCAACAAAACTTTTTATCCACTAAACCAGATAAATTTCTGATAGAATCTTAAGATTGGACTGAACTAGAATCATCAAAACCCTCAACTACCGAACAAAACAAATGTAGCATTAGTGAATACAATTTTAACAACACAGGAAGCAGAAATGTAAAAAGTTAAAAGAAGACCACTAAAGAGTAGCATACACTAACCCAAGTATGGTCTTTGAGGCACAGAAGTACCAAAAATACAAACTTCATGTACCAAAAGATGAAGGAACATAGAGAATTTAATTATCCAACCCCAATAGTTGGATCCTAAAGAATAATTCCTTAATTTTGGATGGGCCTTGAAGCAATCAACATAATCATGTCCAAAAAATTTGCAAGAGTTGAAATATAAGGGTAAATCTTCAATTTTTAACTTTTTATCAATATCCACATATTGAAGTGCCAATCCATACCTTCAAAGCTAATTGGGCTGAAATGTCTATCTCAACAATAATGCATGCTACAACCAACCACAAAAGCCAAGATATAGCAACATTAAATTGTACTGATATACCAAAAATTGCACCTAAAGAAAATAGTTAATTGATGTAATGGATATGGAGGTGAAAGAAGGCAACTCGAAAGAGTTGATTAAGGGCTTCTCAGAAGCATCAAGGCATAGGGAACACTTCAACATGGATTTGCACGTCAATCACATAATACGAGTGTCGAGAGAAAAATCTACAATAATTTGCTTTCATAGATAGTAAACACATGACACCAATCAAAAATTCCAATAGAGTAGTCACCTCACAAGATATCAAACAAAGATAATACATGAAAGTACAAATAATCTTCATGTTTGGGTGGGTAAAAGAAGCTTTACCAACCAACTTAAGAAACTTGAGCTAAAAAGTTTAAAATCACCACCTCCAAAAAGATAAGAATAAGTTTACCAATTAAGGTGGCAGTTGACTTATGCATAGCAAAATATAAGCCAAGCCAAACAAATGACTAGAAACTAGTATCCGAGAGATTTAGCAGAATGAGCACAAGTATATGGAGAGGTCCAATATGATGGAGGAAGATAACCATCACCAACTACAAGGTCATTGAGAGGCAATAGATGGAGAGGAATAGGTAAAAGCTTAGTACATGAAAGAGGCCTGACATTGGTGCCAAAAACATCAGCTATTTTTGCGCTACCTTTGTCTTGAATTGCTTTTTTGTATGGAAACATATTAATTATGCCTCCTCTTTTTTTTAATATTATAAGGGACAACATAGACCACACTGTAAATGCTTAAAATTTATTCCTTTTTAACTTTTGACTTTTGAAATATTAATGCAAAGTGCAAACTTTTCAAAGAATGCGTCAGCAAAGGGTTAAGAGAAACCACAAGAAATGACATGGAACTTAGGCTACACAAAAAGTGAAATATATTGAGCACCAAAGTTAAATCAGGACCAACTAAAAATTTTTTTTCCTAAATTACAACCTTAATCCAAAATTTCATTACCTCAGTTCTATAATCAATAGCCTCCTCAGCGCCAACTGACATTACACGTTCAATACTCTTACTTCCACAGAGAGTTGACACACTGCAACCGACAGCTACAGCAAGTTGAATTGCAGCTAATCCAACAGCCCCGCCTCCACCTAATACCAACAATCTATGGCTGAAAAGTAAAAAAACAAACTAGTAAGGAAATAGGACCCCAGCTTCATAGAATAAAAATCAGGAGGCATTTACATACATAACATCCAATTCTTATGTATTTACATATCTAACTCCTAAACTTTATTTTTTACATTTACACCACCCAAACATTTCATATCACATGTACAATTTTAACTTTTTAAAATTGAAATACATCTTTTCGTGCATAGATAAGGTGGCATATATATATATATATGTTAAAAATGAACTTTAGGTGTTAGATATGAAAATAAAGAGGAATTAAGTGATATGTATGTAAATCTTCCTAAAATCAAACAAAATAAGCTCTGAATTAGAAATAATACCTGACTTACCTTCATAAAGTCATTTTTTTTTAAGAGCACTTGACATTTTTGCATTCACTTAGAAAATAAAATTCGTCAACAAAACAAAAAAATAGCTGATGTCGAGAAGATTAAATTGTTTTGTAAAGTACTTTGTTATATATAAAGGAAATAGATAAAAATAGAGAAACTATTTGAGGGCAAGTAAGCAATAGGAGTGTCAAAATGGACCCAATACGACAACTCGACTCGAGCTAGACTCCGAAAATCTGGTTCGGGTTGAACCGCCAACCCAAAATTGACCCAAAACCAACCAGCTAACCCGAAATTGACCCAAAACCAATAATCTCACCAAAAATTGACTTGAAATTGACATGTCAGCTTGAACTTGACCTGAGATTGACCCAAACTTGGCCCAAGTAGTTGTTATGTATTATGTTAAATGGGTTATACGAGTCAAATTTGAGTTGGCTTTTATAAATCATTTCATATTAGGGTCGGATTCAGGTCAAGCAATTTCAGGCAGGGCTAATTTCAGGTCATACCCAAACATGATTTGAAACCCCTAGTAACATATTAACCGAACATCGTGATCTTTGGAACTCCCACTACTAATTCCATAAAATTTTCTCTTAAAGGACAATGTCTGATTTACAGAATTCAACATACCCCTTAGAAATTCTAGCAGTGCATTTCAAGGCTCGCCATGCTGTTAAAGCAGCAAAAGGAACAGCACTTGCTTCCTGAGACAATACCAGCCATAATAGAAGTCCATGTAAGAGCAATGGAAAAGCACATACTGCAATAAAGGTAAGTTTTCAACTAAATCAAAGCTTAATCAAACTGAATTTTTGTAAAAGTAAAGTATTACAAACCCAGAAAATGGGCCTCAAAAAGCTTGTAGAGAAACAAATCCATGATTTTACACTAAAGATACTTTTCCACTCAAAGCTCATTTAAACAGAAGTTTGGTGAAAGAAAAAGTAGGCAAATTTACATACATATCACACAATTCTTTATTTATTTACATATCTAACAGCCAAACTATCACATTTACACTATAACACTTTGGGGTGATAAACCTATCCAATAAAAAGTGTATTTCACTTTAAGAAGTAGTTGATAGTTGTCCTTTTATGTGATATTGAAGACTTGAGTGCTAAGCATGTAAATATGAAAGTTTGGGTGTTAGATATGTAAATACATAAGAATTGTATGGTATGCAAGTAAATACCCCAAAAAAGTATTACAACCCCTGAAAGTGAACCGCCGTCAAGCTTGCAGAGAAACAAATCCATGATTGATCTCACAATTCATAAGCTTTTCACGAAAATGATTATCTATAACTTCATTAAAGCTGAAAACTTGGCATGACAACATGGTTTAAAAGACTTACAATTCACATATAAATGGATGAAGTCATGCAACATACATGTGAAGTGCTGCACTACTTCCCATCCAAAAATTACAAAATAAGCTTTAGGGGCATTTATATACATGCCACACAATTCTTATATACTTACATGTATAACACCTAAACTTTGATATTACATGCATACTACTCAAACCTTAACATCACATAAAAAATACCACTAGTACTAACTTCTTAAAAGTGAGACACATATTCATTCATAGGTTTTTACCACCAAAGCGTTATGAATGTAAATATCAAACTTTCAGTGTTGAATATGTAAATGCATAAGAACTGGATGGTATACACGTAAATTTTCCATAGTTTTAACATTGCAAAATTTACAAAAACATTTGTTTGAGTAAGAAAATGACAAACAAGTAGGCTAAACATAAGTTATTACCACATGAGATACTGAAGATGGTTTCACAGATAACTCATCTTCTAATAGAATGGCATAATCCGCATAAGTGCCTCTCACAGCCGTTGGATGCAGGGCACCAAAAACTTCTTGCCCAATGGACAGTGATGAGACCGAAGCTCCTGTGGCTATAACTTCACCGCTAACATCACGACCCAAAATTAGGGGCAAAAGGGGCTCAAATATTGACCGACCATACCCTGATCTCACCTGAAGATAAATGAACGAGAACATAAAAAATACAACTTACATATATGAAAAAAAACTTCATAAAATAAACTTGTTCAATTAAAAATGCATCAAAAACCTACAAAAAGCTTAATGATTCGACCATATAAAAGGAGACACTCTTTTGATCCATGGCTGAATCTAAATTATTCATGGAAAATTTACATAACTAGCACACAATTCTCATGTATTTACATATCTCATACCTAGCACTTTGCTTTGTTAATCGTATGCATTACAAGTTGTAATTGATTTTTAAAAAGTGGTAATAGTGCTATTTTTTATTGGACATCAAAGGTTTGAGTGCAATGTGTGTAAGTATGAAAGACTAGGTGTATTTCAAAGCTCGGATGCACAAAGGTTGGAATCACCTATGACAATCAAAAGCTCAGATGCACAATTAAACTTTCAAAACCCTGAAATTCATAAAGAAATATGCATACTTCTTATGAAAGGAATACTCGGCTACACGTATTGATCATTAGTAAATGGAGTAAACCAAGATTTAGTAAAGTCTGCAGGAGCTAAATCCTGAAAACTATTTGGCTCCATCGATACTGAATCAAGTCAAACCCGAACAAACTGTTTGGCAGATCTTTTCAAGGGTTGAGATACAAATGAAAGAAAAAAAAAAAGATGCAATGTGGGGAAAAATGGTGTAAATCTCATAGGTCCAACTTCCTCGGGATTCACTAAATCCAAAATTTAGCTTAAAATGCAAGAAAAAAAATTTAAGAATATTACAAGATTTCCATGACCCGAAATAAAGATTAGCAAAATTTAACTTAAATATTGACTAAATCGTGCAACAAAACAGTCCTGATTAAGAAATTACTGAACTCCGCTAAAATCCAATCCGAGCCGATTATTGCAAACGATATCATCCTAATTGACCCCATTTCTCCAAACCAACTATAAATAACACAGCTACACCAATTGCCTCAAAACTCACCCGGAGATCCAGAGGATTGATAGATACGGCATGGGCGCGCACAAGCACTTCCTGCGGCTTGAGATCGGGGACTGGAACAGACGAGCGAAGCTCCAATACCCCCGGCCCACCGAACCGCGGCAGCACTACCGCTCTGCATTCCTTAGCCGTGTAAACGGTTCTACACTTCCACAAAGCCGCGGCAGCAGAAGCAGCAGCTTCCCTTCTCCTCCACAATCCCAACATCTGCAGTTAAACCCTAGCTGGAAGATGAAGGCCCAAAACCCTAAAAAGGTAAGGCGGGAGGACGCCACGGAGGCGGCGGCGTGTTGGTCTCGCAGCCACGCGCTAAATCCGAATCCGGCTGATGATGGGACTGCCATGGAGGGAAGGAATCATTGCATCAGGACCGTTCGTTGCATGAACCGGAGGATGATTATATAGATCATAATTACTATTGTGAATTTCTATAGGAATTTATTTCCTTTTTTTAAAATGAATTTTATATTAATTATAATTTTCTTCTATTAAATCATAAAAATAATTAATTTAGTTTTTAGAAGATTAATTAAAGCGATTAGTTCATTATTTATTTTATTTTATTGACAAATTTCATTTTATCAAATTTCTATATAATAAAATGATCTTTATATTAACAAAAAAAAAATGTTACAACTTCATGTGTGTTAGAAAATTCACAGTGGTAGATTAACAAATTAGCGTTTTAACGTTATACGAAAGTTCAGCACACATATAGATGAAATAGAAAAAAACGGTGATGACTCCAGAAGTTCCTACGTGTACTTACGTGTAAAATCCATTAAGGAAAAAACACGGGGTCTAACCAGTTGCGAGAATCCACTATTGATTGATGATTACAGAAATCTCTAATTTCATAGAAGGTAAACGGTAGCTATATTTCTCATATTACAATTTTAACTGACGGCGTCTGTTTGGTGATGATTGACGACGGTAGATGGAGGTTGACGACGGTCGGTGGTGGTGGACGACAAACGGCGGGGGTTGATGACAGTAGGAGGTGGTCGTCTGAGGTCGGCGGTGATCGTCGATTTTTGGCGATCGACGGCGGTCGACGACAGAGGTCGGTTGGGGTCGACGACGGTCGGCGGTAGTGCTGAGCTGCAGCTTCTCCTCAAGACCTCAGGCTCTCTCTAGACTTCCTCCCCTTCATTAGAGGGATGGAACTCTTTATAGTGTTCTGAGTGCAATTAATGCAGGAATATGAACTATTTTAATTGGACGGTCCTGAGAGCTTCTCTCGATCATACGACGTTTAATGGACATTTGAGTGCATTAATGATGTCAGAATTGAGTGATCTTGCGCTCGTTGGATTCTTCTTGTCGAGCCGCTCGATTTGAATATAAACTTGTCATATTTGACAGTCGTTTGACTTTTTAAATGTATTCATAAATATTCTAACTGTAGTTTAATGACTTGATCTGAGCTTGATTTGACTTTGATTGGGTTAGTTTTCATATCATTAGGTCCATCTTATCGAACCGGTCAATTTGACTATAAGTTTGCTGAAATCGAAGCTCTGGATGAATTTTTATTAAGATTTGAATGTTTCGTGCTTAAAATATCATCTTAATATTCGTGTCATGCCTCGAGATTCGTGTTGGATGATGAAATTTTATTGATGGTGTATCAAAAAGATATTTTCATTTCATATATTAGGAATTATTTGTTTTCCTATTTTATATTATTTTATAGGAGTATTTATGTATAAGAATATGTATATTTTACTTAGTATAACAATAGCTTTTATCCTTATATAAATAAAAAGCTGAACTGAGCTTAGTTGGTTACTCTCTTTTGTTTTATGTGGGAGAGAGGATGTTTAAATCCCATCTAAAACAAAATAAATAATATTTTATAAAGGAATTTGAAGAGATTAAGAAATTTGGAAGGGCAAAAGAGAAAAAAAAGTTTTTTTTTTAATATGAAAAGTTTTTATTTATTATTATTTATGAGCATTTAATGCTTGCACTTTTTTTTAGATTTCTATATTAATGTGCATTTTTTGGTCAAGGCTCTTTTTGAGCCTATAAATAGGGGCCCGAAAGAGAGGGTAGAGATGCGGTGGTGTGTAGTGGCGACGCGTTGCAGCAGTGCAATGCGGCGACGCGACTTGGCGGCGAGGC